TCTTGATTCTTGCTTATTTTAATATAGTTCCCAAAACCAATTAGATTGGAATATATTTCTTCCTAGAAAACAATATGTTTGCTGTTATGATTTATTCTCAAGCAGATCTTTATGGTCAAACTTTTTCTATTTCTATTGTCAGTCTATTTCTTTTCTTTTCTATATTCTTTAGTTGGTTACTATATTAATTTTCTAGGTCTGCCACAACAAGATGCCACAGACTTGGTGACTTAAACAACAGAAATTTATTTTCTCACAGTTCTAGAGGCCACCAGATACTGGCAGGGTTGGCTTCTTTTGAGGCCCCTCTTCTTGGCTTGCAGATGGCCATCTTCTTGCTGTGTCCTCATGTGGTCACCACTCGGTCTTTGTGTTGTCTATTTCCTAATCTCCTCTTATAAGAAGAGAGAATATTTGTCCTTCTGATAAGGACACCAGGAATATTGGACTAGGGCCCACCTGAATGATCTCCCTTTACCTTAATTACCTCTTTAAAGGCCCTGTCTCCAAATACAGTCACATTCTGAGGTCCAGGGGGTTAGGACTTCAACGTATGAATTTTGGGTGGACATAGTGCATAACAGTTACTTTAAATTACCTTTATTTATTTGGATATTTCCAGGGTTCAACTTCACTGGCATTTATTGTCTGGGGAGCATCTGCTGAGTGCTTTGTTACAACAATCGTGCCAACGTTGAAAAGCAGCTGTAGTTATCTCAGATCTATGCATCACATTCCTAGCAGACTTATCCCACTTGAAGACTGGATTAGTGGAGTTCACAGAGACAGTCAGGGTTTTAACCTAATCAAAACCTTGCCGGTAAAAGATCTCAGTATATTGGTTTAAGAGTACCAATGCTATATGACTTTTCTATGATTGCCTGGCTATTAATTTTAGCATTTCTTTTCTGAGCTGTTCAAAATGTTTCACCATTATTTTTCAATCCTCATGTCATTTTGAGGATGTGATGATTATTTCTAAAATACAAAACCTTTCCGAAATAATGACTTTTCTTGGTAACTGAGTCTCATCATTATTAATATTATTTTATACTATATTATGTGGTATCGTCTTGAGCTTCTGTGATGTATACAGCAATTTGCCCTTACACTGACTTGTCCCAAACTGATACAATTGACCCTTGAACAACATGGGTTTTAATTGTGTGGGTCCACTACACTTGGATTTTTTTTCAATAAATATACTGGAAAATTTTTTGGAGGTTTTCAACAATTTAAAAAAATTTGCAGATGAACCTCATAGCTTAGAAACATCAAAAAATTATGAAAAAGGTATGTCATGAATGCATAAAATATAGGTAGATTCTATTCTATTTCATCATTTACTACCATAAATTATATATAAATATATTATAAAAGTTAAAATTTATCAAACCTTACACAAACATTTATAGACTGTTCATAGCACCATTTGCAGTCAAGAGGAATGTAAGCAAATGTAAAGATGCAGTATTAAATCATAACTGCATAAAATTAACTATAGTACATACAGTACTACTGTAATAATTTCGTAGCCACCTCCTCTTGCTATTGCAGTGAGCTCAGGTGTCTCCAGTATTCACTTAACATGCTGTGTGATGCTAATCATCGCCGTGTGAGCAGTTGTCTCTCTAGTAAATTGCATATTGCAGTAAAAAGTGAGCTCTCGGGTTCTCAAGTAGTATTTTTCATTGTGCTTTTCAAGCACAATATCTTAAAGCTTGAATAACGCCATGGGACCCATACAAAGTGCTACTAGTGATGCTGGAAGTTCTCTGAAGAAGCAGAGAAAAGTTATGACATTACAAGAAAAAATTATATTGCTTGATATGTATCAGAGATTGAGGTCTGCAGTCATGGTAGCCTACCATTTCAGACAGATGGTTCATCTTGTAAACAGATGGCGTAAATTTATGAAATCCATAAATACAGTTCAGTACTGTAAATGTATTTTCTCTTCCTTATGATTTTCTTAATAATATTTCCTTTTCGGCCGGGCGCGGTGGCTCACGCCTGTAATCCTAGCACTCTGGGAGGCCGGGGCGGGTGGATCGCTCAAGGTCAGGAGTTCGAGACCAGCCTGAGCAAGAGCGAGACCCCGTCTCTACTAAAAAAAATAGAAAGAAATGATCTGGACAACTCAAAATATATATATAGAGAAAAAATTAGCCGGGCATGGTGGCGCATGCCTGTAGTCCCAGCTACTCGGGAGGCTGAGGCAGTAGGATTGCTTGAGCCCAGGAGTTTGAGGTTGCTGTGAGCTAGGCTGACGCCACAGCACTCACTCTAGCCTAGGCACCAAAGCGAGACTCTGTCTCAAAATAAATAAATAAATAAATAATAAATAATATTTCCTTTTCTGTAGCTTACTCTATTGTAAGAATACAATACATAATACATACAACATACAAAATATGTGTTAATCAACAGTTTATGTTACTGATAAGGCTTCCGGTCAACAGGAGGCTATTAGTGGTTAAGTTTTAGGGGAGTCAAAAGTTATATGCGAATTTTTGACTGTGCCAGGGTCGGTGCCACTAACTCCCATGTTGTTCAAGTGTCAACTATATATCTTACTGGCCCCATTTTGATGTAATAATTTTAATCGTGGCCTCAGAGTCTGCAACTCTTTTTAAAATATAAATTACTCTTTGTCAACTAACTTATCAGTTATAATTTTCTTTGTAACAAAAAGCAAAAACCAAACTTGAAGAATTATTTACTAACTACATCACTAAGGTTCTTTTATAAAGTGTTTAAACTTTATTGCACTGACTTTATGGCAACTATTTTAGGTACTAAAATTATTTTTCATTTATTTCCAAGTTCCAAGTTACATTACCATGAGTTGAGGTTGTTGAAATTCCAGAAAATGAAGGGCAGGAATATTGGGGGAGAGACATTTACTTTAATACATAGAGCTAAAAATGGAATTTTTGCATTGATTGGCTTTCTGAAAAATCAAGCTATTTAAATTAAAAACTTAGTAAATAATAGTGAATTGTACATTTTCTTTGTTTAATCACTTGCAGATAAACTACAGGCCTCCATCTAATATGGGAATTGCTATTCCACTCACAGATAATTTTTACCATGCAGATCCTAGCAAACCCATACCAAGAAATCTATTTCACAAATCAAAGGTAATTAATTTTTCTACAAATAAACTATCATTTATTGGAATTCAAGAAATCATTCAGTAAAATTACATATGGACCTAGCTGTGGGGATTAAATGATAAGGTACAGCTAGTAGTAGTAGCAGTTGTAGTAGTAGTAGTAGTAGTAGTAGTAGTAGTAGTGATACTGCTACTACTCCTGTTCCTCCTCCTTCTGGTTTAGACCTCCTCCTTTTACATCTATTCCTGGATATGGTTTTGGAGTTAAGAAGTCTAAATGGACTCCTTCCCCTTGACTCTCCCTAGCTCCCACTTGGATTTCATAGGTGGGGTGAGAACATCTTTTCTCAAATGAAAGGAGCCCCCAGACCCGTCTCACATCTTCAGCCCTGTGCAAGGAATGGTGTCCAAGAGGAAAGAAGACTGTTCACTCCAATGTAGGCACATTTAAACTCCTGCTAAGATTCTGCCTAGAAAATAACCAAACCCAGCAGCACCCTGCCTCTCTCAGGGTAGAATGAGTGAAGCAGAGAGAACAGAGAGGAGCCATTAGACTCAGAGGAAAAGTACAGCATGGAGTAGCTTCTCCAGGAAACCTCAAAGATGCCTGTGTAATCTCTCTCCAGACAAATGCCCCTACTTGCCCCTACTTATACAAATAGACAGTCATATCTACTCAGACATACATGCATACACACAAACACATAAAATTGGTGTTTCTTTTGTTCACAACTCTCCACTGTCTTCCCATCTCATTCAGAGTGAAAACCAAATTCTTACGATGGTTTATAAGGTCCTCCATGATTTGGCCTTGGCATTACATCTGACCTGATTCCCCAGCTTACTCTGCTGTAGCCACACTGGCCTCTTCGCTGTTTCTCAAATATGCCAGACATATTTCCATCTCGGGCCTTTGCAGTTGCAGAATATCCCTGTCTGGAATGTTCCTCTGCCAGATATCTCACATGGCTCACTCTGTCACCTTCTTCAGGTGTTTGCTTAAATGTCACCATCATGGCCAGCCCCTCCCTGACCACTCTACTTAGAATTGTTACCCCCATCTCCACTGTCCCCCCACTCCCTAACCCCTTTCCCTGCATTGTTTTTCTCCATATCACTCATTACCATTTTACATGTTTTACTCATTTATTTTATTTATTGTCTTTCTGATCGCATAAGCAGGTAAGCTCATAGGCAGGGGTTTTGATCTATTTTCTGCTCTACCAGATCCCCAGTACCCAGAACAGTGCCAGACATAGGGAATGCTTAAAAATTGTTGAACAAACTAGTAATACACATTACACACACATGCACGCTCGCACGTGCGTTAAGAGGTTAACAGACTTCTTGTTAAATCTTGGATTTCAGGTTAAGAAGCTTCTGAGTAACTAGGATACTGAGTTCTTCTCCAATTCCAGTTTCTTCCAAAGACAAACCCTACTGTGTCACTAGAAGCACTTCCTCTATTGAAATACAACTTTACGACATTTACGTGGAAATCTCTAGTTTTCTGGGGTTTTCCCCGAGGATTTTCTTGAAAGTTAAATAGGAAACATGTCTAATTTATACCTAAGTAAATAAGATGGTTTAAATGCACCATTTATGCATCCAACAAATGTTAATTTCAGCATTTCTGGTGTTATCAGGCACTATACAGACATCCTCTGAGAATATAGCAATGAACAAGATAAACATGGTATCTTCGTGGACTCTAATAGGGGAGAATAGGTATTAAACACAAAATTATACAAATTAAACAGGGTCATCTAGTGCAGTGCTTCTAAACAGTATGTCCCTGTATAACCTGAACCAGAATTCTGTGAAAATATGTTTACAATGCAGCTTTCTCAATCTCACCTCATAGCTGCTGAATCAGAAACTATGGGGTAGGAAACAGTCCTGAAATCTGCATTTTAAAAAATCTCTGCAGTTGATTCTATTTACCCTAAAGTTTAAGATAGACCAATAGTAGAGTTAGACACAAAACAAGCAATATTACTGTGTATCAGGAAGTCAGGAAACATATCCCTGAAGAAGTGCTTCTGAGTCAAGACTGAAAGATGAATAGGGGTTAACCCAGCAAAGGAGGGGAGAATGGTAGCACAGAGAGGGAAACAGGAGACAGAGAGTATTCTAGTCTGAGGAAACACCATGCACAAAGGGTGGATGTGGGGAAGGGCTCAGTGTCTTTGAAGAAGACTGTTCAGCCTGGAGCATAATGAGCAAGAGAGAAAGAGAAAGTTTGAAGACAGCAGGCCCTAATGCTAATGCCTAAATGTTATTTGCATTCCTACTAACACAACATCCATTCTGTAGCCCATGGGTCAAGGAGTAATTTTGACTTTCGAGTCTTATCATTTGAGAAATACATTTCATAAGGCAATTGCCACCATAGATAGTCATTCCTCTGATAGATGTGCGCAAGGTCAATTGAAAACCTTTTGGAAAGGATTCACCATTCTAGATGCCATTAAGAACATTCATGATGCATGAGAGGAGGTCAAAATAGCAATATCAACAGGAGTTTGGAAGAAGTTGATTCCAAATCTCATGGATGACTTTGAGAGGTTCAAGACTTTAGTGGAGGAAGTGATTGCAGATGTGGCAGAAATAGCAAGAGAACTGTAATTAGACATGGAGCCTGTAGATGTGATTGAATTGCTGCAATCTCATGATCAAACTTGAGTGAATGAGGAGTTACTTCTTATCGATGAGCAAAGAAATTGATTTCTTCAGATGGAAACTACAACTGATGAAGATGCTACAAACATTGTTAAAATGACATCAAAGGATTTCAAATATTATGTAAACTTAATTGATAAAGCAGTAGCAGGGTTTGAGAGGATTGACTCTAATTTTGATAAATGTTCTACTGTGGGTAAAATATTATTAGATAGCATTGCATGCTACAGACAAATCCTTTGTGAAAGGAAGAATCAATCAATATGGTAAACTTCATTGTTGTCTTATTTTAAGAAATTGCCACAGCCACCCCAACCTTCAGCAACCACCACCCTGATTAGTCAACAGCCATCAATATCAAGGTATCAAAAAGATTATGACTCACTGAAGGCTCAGATGATCATTACCGTTTTTAGCAATAAGGTATTTTTAATTAAGATATATACATTGTTTTATTACACATAATGTTATTGCACACTTAATAGACTACAGAATAGTGTAAACATAGGTTTTATATGCACTGGGAAACCAAAAATTTGTGTGACTTGCTTTATTGCAATATTTGTTTTATTGCAATGGTCTGAAACTGAACTCACAATATCTCTGAGGTATGCTTGTACTGTGAACAATTGTATGCCAAAAAATTAAATAACCTAGATAAAATAGACAAATTTATGGAAACATAGAAATTACCTAAGCCAACTCAAGAAGAAATAGAAAACCTCAACAGCCCTAAGACAGGTAAAGAAATTGTATCAGTAATCAAAAACCTCCAAACAAAGAAAAGTCCAGAAATGAATGGCTTCACTAGTGAATTCTTCTAAACATTTAAAGAAGAATTAAGACCAATCCTTCTCAAACTCTTCCAAAAATAGAATAGGAGGGATTACTTCCTAACTTATTCTATTAGGTCCAATACTAAAGCCAGATAAAGACATCACAAGAAAAAGAAAATTACAGACCAATATTCCTTATAAATATAGTTGCAAAACTCCCCAATAAAATACCAGCAAACCAAATCTAACAGCATATTAATAAAGATTATACACAATGACTAAGTGGGATTTGTCACAGGAATGCAAGGGTGGTTCAACATAAGAAAATTAATCAATATAATACACCACATTAAGAGACTAATGAGGGGGAAATCAGATCATCATCTCAAATGCTTTAGAAAAGGCATTTGACAAAATTCAACACCCTTTCATGAAAAAAAAAAAAACCAAACTGTGAAAAAAGGAAACTTTCTCAACCTGATAAAGGGCATCTACAAATGCTTATGCCTAAACGTTGTTTTCATTAACCTACTGTTAACATCATACAAATAATGAAAGACTGAAAGCTTCCCCCCTAACATCAGGAACAAAATAAGGCTCTTGCCACTTCTATTAAGTATGTTACTGGAAGTTTCAGCCATGACAATTAGGCAAGAAAATAAACAAAAGGCATCCAGGTTTGAAAGAAAAAAGTAAAACTGTCTTTGCTCACAGATGACATGGTATTATATACAGAAAATCCCAAAACACACACAACACACACATGCACACACACACACACAAAACTAAAACTAATAGAACTATTAATAATAATAAATGAGTTCCACAATATACTATAATCAGTTGTATTTCTATAAAGTAAAATGCATATCTGATAAGGGTCAGATGTCCAGACTATATAAACTATTCTTACAACTCAATAACAAAAAAGACAAAACTGCCCAGTTAGAAATGGATGAAAGTCTCGAATAGACATTTCTCCAAAAAAGATATACAAGTGGCCAACAAGCCCATGAAAAGATGGTCAACATCATTAGTCATTAGAGAAACAGAAATCAAAACCACAAAGAGATATCATTTCACAGCCATTAGGATAGCTATAATAATATTAAAATTACAATAACTTTGAAAAATAATATGAAAATAAGTGTTGGCAAGAATGTGGAGAAATTGGAACCCTCATACATTGCTGGTGGGAATGTAAAATGGTACAGCTGCTATGGATAACAGTTTGACAGTTCTTCAAAAGCTAAACATAGAATTACTATGACCCAGCCACTCTGCTACCAGATATATCTAAGAGAATTGAAAACATAGGTTCAAACAAAAACTTCAGAGCAGCATTATTCATAGTAGCCAAAAAGTGGAAACAATCAAATGTTCTTTAAGTAACGAATGGATAAACAAAATATGCTATATCCATTCAATAGAATATTATTCAGCCATAAAAGGAAAAAAGTACTGATGTATGCTACAACATGGATGAAACTCAGATATAATATACTAAGTGGAAGAAGCCAGACACAAAAGGCCACATATTGAATATTTCCATTTATATGACATGTCCAGATAGGGAAATTCACAGAGATAGAAAATGAATTAGTGGTTGCCATGGGCTAGGGGAAGAAGGAAATGGAGAGCGACTGCTAATGGATACAGAGTTTCTTTTGGGAGTGATAAAAATGTTCTGGAAGTAGATTGTGGTGATGGTTGACTAACATTGTGAATACACTAAAACCCACTGTATTGTACATTTTAAAATGGTTAAAAAGGTGAATTTTTTTTCAATAAAAAGAAGAAAAAAAGCTAGGAGGAAAATAGTAATCCTAAAGAAAGTTGAAGGAAGGATATTATTTTTTAAAATAGAGTTGATTATCAAAATCAAAAGCCAATTTAAAAATAATAATAATAATAAAATAAACCAGTGGCAAGAGTGATCAAGTAAAAATGAATGACAAATGAACAGACGGTGGAGATTTTAGGTATCTTTAATGAATGCCATGAAAAAAGACAAGCATGAAGTAGTATGTTTGGGGAGTGTGCTGTAGAGTCTGCAAGCCCATACTCTCAAGTCTGTTCCTTGTGGTCTCCGTTTGTCTGCCTGCGATGGGAGGGGCCAGAAGCAGTGAGTTTGGCGTCCTGACTCAGAAGGAGGCAGGCTTTCCAGGTCCTGCGCAACCACGTGGAGCTGAACTGGCAAGCCGCTGAGTGAAACCAGGGTTCAAAGTACCAAGCAAGGAGACAATCGAAATTCAGAAATATTGTACTTGTTCTCTTAATTAATGGATTTTTCTCCCTTTTAACTTCTTGGGAATTTTATTTATTTATTTATTGAACATTGACTCAGTTTACCGAAACTCTGCAACACAAAAAAGCAAGTCAACCTGTTACTTCTATTTGCAGAAAGCTGGTAAATTCAAACAGTGTGCTAATGTTTCTACTCGGGAGGAGTGTAATTGCACAAATGATCAGAAGTTTTCACATGCTGTTGCTTTCTCAGATTGCAGAGAAAAAGTAAGATAATTTTTAATTTCATATCAATAAGATTTTGAAATGTGCCTTTTGCTTAAACATGAAAACTAAGACATAGAAGTAATATCATGTTATGACGGAACTAAATAGACACAGAGCTAGAAATATCTGGATTTAAATGTACTAGACAAATTAATGAAACTCATATGTAAAATAAAATAATACCTGCCCTGCTCTGTCCTTTTCACAGGATTCTTATAAAGATATACAAATACACACTCACACACACACACACACACACGCCTCTATCTATATGAAAGCAATTTGTAGCCTGTAAAACACTATACTAGATTATGGTAAATATTGATTCATTCAAAAAAATTTTGAGTATCTAATGTGTATCAGGTTCTTGGAATATAGACGTCAAAGTCCTTGTAATCAAGGAGCTCAGTCTGGTGGTAGTGACAAATAAAAGACATTTAATAGGATAGTTATGAGAATGGGTTCTGTGTCACATAATATTTCATTCTGTTAGTATCAAAATACTCAAAGGTATATCAAGTTAATGTGGGTGCTTACATTAGCAGAGTCAAATGTGCAATTGGTATAATGTTCAAGCAGATCCATTTCAAACCCTTTGTAAGACTAGAGAGAGAGAGAGACTATATATTATATAGACTATATATAAGACTATATATGATACATAGACTGTCTTATATAGAGAGACTATATATTATAGTCCTGTATATTATATGTTGGGCACAGAGTCAGCATTCAGTAAATTATAAGGGTTATTATTATATACCCCCTTGCTGAACTAAAATAATATTTCTTGAGCATTTGTTATCTACTAAATGGTATCTAAGCCCTCTCCGTGATTTGTCTCATTTAATTTGAGTCACAGAGAAGTCAGGCAATTAGCCAAAGACCTCACTGTTAACATGCATTGGGGCTGGATTTGAATTTCAGAGGCTGTGTTTACAGATTATGCCTAGAAGACTGTGACTGGCCAGAAGAGTGGTGAGAGGGAGATGGGTGAGACCCAGTTCATACAGGGCCTCACAGGATATGGTTTGGCCAAAACAAGTTTGAATGACATCATAATTTCCCGTGAAAAAGGCCAATAGAAGTTATCAGCTTTGTTACGACAGTGTTTACTGCCTTTGGAGTTCACACTGATTCTACTGTAAGGCAAGAATTTTTCATGCCTGAAAAGACAGAAACCCCAAGAAGCACATTTCATTAAAAAGCCAAACTATTGAGCATGTATCTACTTATTCTTTACCAGGAAATGAAGTTACTATTGAATTTTCCAAATTTACATTCATTCTTGGAATTTATATTTTAGGTTCCTCGTTTTAAGTTTCCAGTTACACAATATCCGATTTCTTTGGAAATTTCTAATGAGAATGGACGTGTCCCAGTGAAATCTCCATACCTGGTTACTGTGACTGAAGTGAATATGAGGAAAAACTGGAATCTAAGTAGGGTTTGGTTTCTTCTAGAATCATTTCATTTTATAAGTAATGTTATTAACGGTTTACAAAGGTCACTGGTTTACAAAGCCTGTCTACACAGGAGAGAGCCAGGAGTTCTTTAGAAAACGATTCAAATCATTTGGCACATTGCTGTTTTCTTCTATTGTTTTCCTCTTATTTCATCATCACTTCCAGTGACCTGCATTCTGTGGCATAAAAGCATTTTGGAGGAATTTAAACTGCAAAAAATTTGAAAGCCATTTTGTGGATTAGTAGCAACAATGATTGATTGACTTTGTGCTACATGCTGGTCTAGTGTCTCCTTTCACTGTTTATTCAGTATTACAGAGGAGGTTATACAAGGTGTTGCCAGTAAGCTTTAGGATCTATTTTCTAATTATATGAGTAAAGTTTCTTAAAGATTTTTATGGTAAAATAATTGAAAAGATGCAGAAATATTTTTAAGTAAGGTATTTACATCAGTCCAATTTTACCTCAAATATATAACTTTCTGTTTCACATTGTGTGTTTGTTCATATATGAATACCTTGAAGAGATTGATAGATAGATAGATGGATAGATGGATAGATAGATAGAATTAACTAAATAGAAATTTTTATCAATCATTAGTATGGTACTAAATATGAAGACATTTGGTATTCAGTAAGCTTTACTCTAACAAATATGCAATATTTACTCTAACAAATATGCAATACTCTAACAAATATTTTTGAAATGAACAATCTAGCAAAGTAAAACTACTAAATATTTTGCTTTAACTAACATTCCAATTTTCTGTGGTGTACTGGAGGCTGCTTTTACCAGATTTGGGGTATTGATTGTTGAATATTGAAGCATTTTACAAGCTGGTTGTTAAACCACTGAAATTAGCCATGGCGAGAGTATTTACACCATGGAAATTGGCAAATGCTACAATCAGAGCTTTTTTTTTCCTTTAGATCCTGTGTACCATTACACTACTGCAATTTCTAACCCCTACACTACGTATCTGGTTTTAGAGAGGATGATAGGAAAGGCAATAGTAACTGATCACTTCTTTTGGAAAAGATTTAAGTAATCCTATTGTGAAACTTTACTGCTGCCTTATTGAACATCATTTACCCACCACTAAGGAGGTCCTGAGATGATCTTACTGCCAAAAACATAAGGAATGTGCAAATCAGGACAGGTCATGAGCATGGAGCTAGGAGAAAAAGGTCAGCTTAAAGGTGGTCAGAAGTCTTGTCTTTCTTGAGGATACCCACAAAGGCAATGGGAGATATCGAGCCTAATTTCCCTTAAATATATCTTTTACAAAGTCAACAACAACCAAAAGTATAGGATAATTTAGTCATGTTATAGAATGGAATCTTTAATTGTACCTTAATGTATGTAACAGATTTTATGCAAAATGAGAAAATAACATGTGTGCTTAAAATATATTTCATGCATTTTTAGAACATACTGTACCAGAAAATGTTCACAAAATGAGAGATTATTTAGAACCAATTCTTCGTGCTTCAGTGTATAATCCTTTAGGTCTCAATTTAAGTATAAAGGTAAGTTGACAGCATTTTTGTTTTTACTATGTTGTGTTTAGATAAGACATACATTCCTAAACTAATATTGGTTTTAGTTTTAAAGTATAGGTATCCATGAATGGTGGAAATAGCAACTTTAAAGTATATGGAAAGGGTTTATTTTTCTTCAGTTTCCCTTGGTGTTATTAATTCTAAAGGTGTCTGAAAGTTGAACCTAACATTAACTTACTGGTTTTTTAAGCTGATAAGCAAGACAGATTATCTAGTAAAGTGGAACAGAAAAGTTAGAGGGAAGAAATGGGCTCATTATTTCACCTTGATATAAACAGGCACATGTCTTCTAGTTCCAGCTGCCCATAAGAACACATGAAGTTGATATAATCCAGGTAATTGTGAAAACCGATCAAAATTAGAGGACATAACAAAACCACAAACATAAGGATTAGCCCAAGTGCTCATCAAGGCCAAGTTAGGTTTTCTGTTTTTGTTTTGTTTTATGTTCTTGTTTCCTCATTCTAATATATATATATATATTATTGTATATATTATATATAATATATAAATATCAGCTATTGAATCCCTCTGTTTCAATCCCTCTTTTTATGTTGATACATGATGTGTTTGTCCAAGAGCCTTAGGAAAGGGACGGGAATTTCTTATGCAACATCTATAGGGAAAGTGGCCCTGGGGTATATTTTTACTTAAAGGAATATACCATTGATTCTGCTAAAGACTGGGTGTGTTTTCTCCACAGGGCTCTGAGCTTTTTCACTTTCGAGTGACTGTCGTTCCAGGGGTCACTTTTTGCAACTTAGTTGAAGAATTTCAGGTATAGTGAATCTCCAAGATATCAAATGGGGTGATGGTTGGGGAAACAACATGACAAGTATCAATCCAAGAGCCTGAAGAGAAAAAATTGGCAGAAGTTGTGTGATAGACAAGGCTTAGAGACAGGGGATTCTGGAGACTGGCAATGACGTTGTCAGTAGTGGTAAAGCTAGGGTGCATGACAGGTGCCAGCACTGACTGATGCTAGGAGAATTTTAATAAGTGGCTGTATTTGGTTTTGTTTCCTTGCCACCTTCCATGTTTAGCTTGGCTTTCTGACTTTTAACACTCTTCCTGTCATCCCTGCCTCTCCACAGGACATATGTCTATAACATTTTAGTTTCCAGTATTATCCTTCTTTTGGCTATTTGAATTGTAGTAGTAGGGTCTTGAATATTCCAAAGGCTTTCAAGATCCAAAAGAATTGGGAACCAAAATCAGTTACCCCAAACCATCACACGAAAGCAACAGCTTGTTTTTGCCTATTCATATAATGACATATGCTGCCTGTGAGGCATGGGAGGAATGAGGATTTGATAAAAATTGATTGATGACTCATTCATTTCAAATACTGATGCCACATTAACATTCTCTCTCTCTCTCCTCTGTCTTCAACCCACCCCCGTCCTCTCTCCCTCTCCCCTCCCTTCTGTCCTGGCCTGCTCCAAGGCCAGCCCCAATAGTGACTCTGCACTACTGCAGTGGTGGGTGGCCATGGCAGCAGTGCAAATATCTAAAACCCTGAGAGAATATCTATCCCACTAGATAGAGGAACTAGGAAAAGATATGTCTGTCCTATGAGGAGAGGGAGAGAAAATCCGTTACTTTTTTCTCCCTTTTCTCACGTCTTTTCCCAAAGGCAGCCTCAGTTGTGGGAATAGCACAATAGCACAGGGGACTAAAATTTTCATACAATCTCAGCTTTCTTCCCAGAAAACTAGGTAAAAGGGCCTCTAGGAGTGGAGAGGGTGGGGGAAATCCCTAAGAGAGCTAGAAAAGGGGATTCCTGATTCTGCACATAAACTAGCACAAGTACCGAGATGCACATGAGCAGAACACACCTAAAGAAGCATCACAAAGGCTTTGAAATAAATCTTCAACATAAACACCATCTAGTTCCAGAACAACTCCTGAGTGGCACATGTACTAGGAAGACACAAATAACATAGCAATAGCTTAGAAAACTGAGCTGACATTGGAACTACCATGCACAGAAGGTGAGGCATAACTTGTGATCTGAACTCAACCAGTGCAATTGACTGCCAAAACAAACACATAAACAATCAACATTTTCCAGAGAATTTTTAACAAGAACCAGATTCTCACAACATAATATCCAAAATTTCTAGGATATAATCCAAAATTACTCACTATACCAAGAACTAGGAAAATATAATCAATTCTGAAGAAAAAAATGATCAACAAATGACAACAAATGCGCATTCCCTAAGTGCCCTAGGCAGGTAGGATTCCCTCTTCTGAATTCCCACACTATTCGCCCACTTCTGCATGACTGAATACAGAACGTTGTCCTGCTGTAGAAGTGTCCTATGTGCCTCCTTCGGCCAGTAAAGCCAAGGTTACAGCATAGGATAACTGAGAGAATTCTTACTTCCTATTTATTGTGTGCAAATTATTACTTGTCAGATCGTTACGAAACTGTTTCTAAGCTTTGTGGATGCTGAATACCTGTATAAGTCTAGGCAGAATTTTGCCAGGTGATTAATTGTGGGAATCACGTAATGTTCAGTATTTTGCATTACTAGATTCAGAAAGCTTAAAGATTTTGCTTTTTCTGTTGCAGATTTATGTTGATGAAGTACCACTGCCATTTCCAGGACACACTCTTATTGCTGTTGCAACAGCGGTAGTGCTAGGCGGATTAATTTTTACAGCATTTATGTTTCAAATGCGTGGCATCTACCCATGGAAGACATTCCAAAAATGGCTTAGAGGAAACCAAGCGAACTTATCAAATATTTCTATCAGTGAAATGATTCATAGATGAGAATCTGAATAGTGAACAAATGATAATCATAATTTCTCTTCATTTTCTAGTTTTATCAAACAATTCCTAGAACAATATATTTAAATGTTAAATATACAAACCAAAAATGAAATAAAATAAATATACAAACTAGATAAAATACTACAGAATTACCATTATAATTCAAATTGCTATTCGTCACTATCGTTACCATTCCATTTTCTTATTTTGAATACATAGAAAATTTCTTTTATTTCATCATATTATGGGAGTACAAATGTTTAGGTTACATATATTGCCTTTGCCCCACCCGAGTCAGAGCTTCAAGTGTGTCCATCTCCCAGACAGTGCACACTGCATCCATTAAATGTGAATATACCCATCCCCTCCTCCCCTCTCCCAACTGCCTGACACCCCATGAATGTTAGTACTATATGTGCACGTTAGTGTTGACCAGTTAATACCAATTTGATGATGAGTACATGGGATGCTGGTTTTCCCATTCTCGTGATACTTCTCTTAGTAGAATGGGCTCCAGCTCTATGCAGGGTAATACAAGAGGTGCTAGATCACCACTGTTTTTTGTGGCTGAGTAGAACTCCATGGTATACATATACCACATTTTATTAATCCACTCAGATTGAGGGAAAAGCCCTTGTGACCTAATCACCTCCTGAAGGCCCTATCTCTTAAAACTATTGCATTGGTGATTAAATTTCAACGTGAATTTTGGATAGAAAAAAACATTTAAGCCATAGCAAATAATATTCCATGGAGTGGATTTTTTTTTAACCATTCACTCATGAAAGAACGTAAGTGTTGTTTGCAGTTTTGGGCTGTTATGAATAAACTGTTATAAACATTTATGTGCAGGTTTTTTTGTGAACATAAGTTTTTACTTCTCTAAGATAAACGCCCAGGAATGCAATTGCTGAGTCATGTTAGTTTCAGTTTTTTAAGAAACTGACAAACTATTTTCCACCAGTAACGTATGAGTGATCCTGTTGCTCTGCATCCTCCCCAGCATCTGGTATTGTCAATATTTTTTATTTTAGCCATTGTTAGGTGTGTAGTTATATCTCATTATGGATTGAATTTGCTTTTCCCTAAAGGCTAATGATGCTGAACATCTTTTCATGTGTGTATTTGCCATCAGTATATTCTCTTTGTTCGTATCTTTGGCCATTTTCTAATTCTAATTGGATTGTGTGTTTTTTACTGTTGAATATTGAGCATTCTTTATATATTCTAGAAAAAATATTTTGTCAGATAAGTGATTTGCAAATATATTCTCCCAGAATGTAGATTATCTTTTCATCCTATTAACAGAACAGGAACTATCACAGAGGAAGTTTTTAAATTTGATAAAGTTTAATAAATCAGTTTTTCCTTTTATGGAGTTTGCCTTTAGTGTCAAGTCCAAAAATTCTTTTCCTACTCCTAAGTCCCAAGAATTTCTGCAAGAATTTTTGCTAAAATGTTATGGCTTTACATTTTACATTTAAGCGTCCTGCTCTGTCACCCAGGCTGGAGTGCAGTGGCACAATTGCAGCTCACTGCAACCTTGTATCCCCAGGTTCAAGTGAGTAGCTGGGACTACAGGTGCACACCACCACATTTGGCAAATTTTTTTATTTTTTGTAGAGACGGGGTCTCGCTATGCTGCTCAGGCTGGTCTCCAACTCCTGGCTTCAACTGATCCTCCCACGCCATCCTCCCAAATTGCTGGGATTTCAGGCATGAGCCACCACACCTAGCCTGAGTTAATTTTTTATAAGGTGTGAGACTTAGGTCAAGGTTCATTTGTGTGTGTGCATGTGCATGTCCAAATACTCTAGCACTATTTTTTGAAAAGGCTATCCTTCCTCCATTGAATTGTTTTTGCACTTTTGTAAACAACCATTTGGGGATATTTGTGAGGCTCTATTTCTGGGTTCTCTATTCTGTTTCATGGATCTCCATATCTATCTCATCACAAATATCACATAGTCTTGATTACTGTGGCTATTATGTAGTAGGCTGAATGGTGGCCCCCAAAAAAGATATGTCCGCACCCTAATTCTACAAAACTATGAATATCACCTTATATGGCAAAAGAGTGAATATTAGCTTACATGGCAAAAGATGTAATTAAGTTAAGGACCTTGAGAGGAGGTTTCCAGTGAAATTATCTGGGCCTGAAGATTTCTTTTTGAGGAGATTTGTAATTACAAATTCATAGGGCACTATAGTCATGAGGCTATTCAAATTATCTGTTTCATATTGGGTGAGTTATGGTAGTTTGTGTTTTTGAGAAATTGGTACATTTCCTCTAGGTTGTCAGATTTACATGTGTAGTTCTTCAAAGTAGTTATACTTTTGATGCCTGCAAGGTCTCTAATGATATCCTATTTCATTCCTGATATTAGTCATTTGTATCTCCTTACTTTTCTTTTTCATTTGTTAGTTTTTTAAAGATTTGTCAATTTTCTTGATCTTTTTGAAAAAACAGCTCTTTGTTTCATTGATTTCCTCTATTGCTTTTCTGTTTTCATTTTCATTGGTTTCTGCTCTAATCTTCTTTATTTCTTCTTTCTTTCATGTTATACATTTATTTTGTTCTTCTTTTTCTAGGTTCTTGAGAGGAGAGGTTAGATTATTCATTTGAGACTTTTTCATTTTTCTAATGTATGACTATACTATAAATTTCCCCTCAACACTGCCTCAACTGTATCCTATAAATTTTAATGTTTTATTTTTATTTTCATTCAGTTCAATTTTTAAAAATTTCCCTTGATAATTCTTCTTTAATGTGCAGGTTATTCATAAGTGTGTTGTCTAGTTTCCCTATGTTGGAGACTTTCCTGTTATTGATTTCTAGTTTGATTCCATTGTGATTGGAAAATACATTCTGTATGATTTCAATTATTTTAAATTTATTGAGATTTGTTTTATGGCCAGGATATGATCTATCATGATACATATTTTGTGGGCATTTGAAGAAAAAAAGTTATTTTCTGCAAAAAAAAAAAAAAAATACCTTGGAATAACCTTAACCAAAAAGGTGAAAGACCTCTACAAGGAGAACTACAAAACACTGATGAAAGAAACCATAAATGGCAAAAACAAATGGAAAAGCATCCCATGCTCATGGACTGGAAGAATCAATATTGCCAAAATGTCCATACTGCCCAAAGTAATCTACAGATGCAATTCCTATCAAAATACCAATATCATTTTTCAAAGAATTAGAGAAAACCCTAAATTACATATGGAACCAAAAAAGAACATGAATAGCCAAAGCAATCCTAAGCAAAACAAACAAATCTGGAGGCATTACATTAGCCTACTTCAAATTATACTACAAGGCAATAGTAACCACAAGAGCAAGGTATTGGTATAAAAGTAAACACATAGGCCAATGGAACAGAATAAACAACCCAGAAATAAAGCCAAATACCTACAAGCAACTGATCTTTGACAGAGCAGAGAAAAGCATACACTGGGGAAAGGACACCCTTTCAATAAATGGTGCTGGGAAATTGGATATCCTCATACAGAAGAATAAAACTGGATCCCTGTCTCTCACCATATACGAAAATAATAAGCTGGGTTAAGGACTTAAATGTAAGACCTGAAACCATAAAAATTTCTAGAAGAAAACCTAGGAAAAACTATTGTCAACATTCGCCTAGGTAAAGAATTTATGACTAAGGCCAAAAAAACAAATATAACAAAACCAAAAATAAATAAATGGGACTTAATTAAACCATAAAGCTTCTGCACAACAAAAGATATAATAAACAGAGTAAATAGACAACTTATGGAATGGGAGAACATATTCACAAGCTATGTATCTGACAAAGGCCTAATATCCATAATCTATAAGGAACTCAAACAGGGTCTTTTTCTGTTGCCCAGGCTAGAGTGCATTGTGCATTAGCATGATCACTGCAACTTCCAACTCCAAGGCTCAAGTGATCCTCCTGGCTCAGCCTTCTGAGTAGTCAGGACTACAGGTGTGTACCACCATGCCCAGCTAATTTTTTTATTTTTTGTAGAGATGGGGTCTCACAACATTGCCCATGCTTGTCTCAAACTCCTGGCCTCAAGCAATCCTCCTGCCTGACTCCCCAAATAGCTGGAATTACAGGAGCCCACCACCACATCTGACTATAACATAAAATTTTTATCCTTTTTTCATTTAACAAATAATTCCTGCTGTTTAATTTACCTTAGAGGTATGATTTTTCTACAAATTATTTCATGTTTGGTTTGGGGATCAATTAAGTATTAACATGTGAATAAATTTAATGATGTTACATCAAAAATTGACAAAATTGGCTCAGACTGGTCTTTGTAAGCACTTTTTTTTTTTTTTTTTGAGGAGAAGGAAAGAGAAGCTTACTAATTTGCCATTAAATGAGGCTGGCAGAGTCCCATCTTGAAGTACCGGCATCCTGCCTCTGAGCAGAAGTACAGAGCTTTTAAAGGTTCTGATAAATCCCATAATCCCATCTTTGGCTAAGACAATCTCATGGTCTTTGCCCAGACTCATCCCATCTTCAGCTAAGATGATCTCGTGACCTCCTCCTGGGCAATTCTCCTGAGTTATCTCCTGTGGCACAGAGAACAAAGTACATTCTCCTGGCCCTCCCTGCCTGAGGTAGGGATGTAGGTTTTAGTTCTCAAAAAGGATGAAGGGGTTTTGAAGAGACAGAAAACATGTTTACCCTTTTTCAGGCCATTCTCTCTGTTACATATTCCCCACTGTCATTCTTACCCTTCCATATCTAGGGGAGTAGGGGTGATGTAGTCATCAAGCTACTGCCTGCTGAATTGGGGTGGTGTTGTAGATGGAAGGTACAGATTACCAGGTAAAAAAGGGCATAAGCAATTACTACAACCGTGAGGACTGATAAGGTGAAATGGACTGTTGCCTTGCACATAATGTCCAATATAGGGCTGGGTTAGAAGAGAAACGTGGGACCCCTGAGCACAGAGCTATTAGTTGTACCCTGTAGGTGATGTGAGAGACCAGCTTCTGCAAATTCAGAAATCATGTACAAAAATACTTGTACCAAATGAGGTTTAGGATAACACACGGAGCAGCAAGACAGATCAACAGAAGCAGCGATAGGTAGCCTGGGGAAATCCTCACTAAGGAGTTGTCTAGCTTTGGTATGACGGACCCAAGGTTTCACTTCTGACAATTTTAACAAGATACGAGTTGTTAGAGGCACTTCGTAGGGTCCCTTTCCCTTCTCTGCTTCCAAGTGGGGAAGGGACCCAACAAAAGGCCTGGCATATGGACACTTTCCAAATCCATTTCCGTCTCCTCAATTCAGTTTGGGGTGCAGGGAGTTGTGTCTACTTCAGGGAGACAAAGATGGGAGTTCCCCAAAGCTAAAACAGGCTCCAGCAGCTGCTGGGGCTGTTCCTTGCTCTCTCACTGGAAAAGAAGTTGCTCCTACCTGTGAAGACCATGGCTTTGACCCAGGGCTGCTCCCTGCCTCTTCTAGCAGTCGCGGGGTACCATTCCACTGGAGTGCTGATGGGCCCACCCAGGGGTGCCAAATTCTGTTACCTAATGGCACTTGTCCCTGAGGCTGCATCAAAAGAATGAGAAGTGGTTTGAGGAGAAGGAAAGAGAAGTTTATTAATTTGCCGGCAAATGAGGAGGCTGGCAGACTCCTGTCTTAAAGTACGAGTGTCCTCTGCAAGCACTTCTTTATATATTTGAAGTTGTGGGGGAGGAAGGTCTCAACTTCTAATTTTAAGACTGAGAGTACCAGATCCCAGGAAAGCTGTCAGCCCTGATCATGCTATTAACCTCTTTCTGAATAGGTGGATGTAACACAAACTACACTGCATGTTTGATACAATGAATCCACATACAGATCAGACATTATCAATGAAAATTTAGCATCCTAGTAGAGATTTGCTCTAGGGGTAAAAGACACATCACAATTTGAAGACATGGTACAGAAAACAAGGAACGTAAAATAATCTCATAATTTTATACTAATAAAGTATTTTGAAAATACTGTGATAATTATTAAAATCAATTTCATTAGTTCCTTCGTACTCCTTAAAAAGTGGTTACTATGAAATTTAAAATTACCTATGTGGCTCGCATTATATTTCTAGTGGACAGAACTGACCTAGACAGCCCGGACAACAGTAAAAGCCCCCAATATTGGTGGCTATTCTTTGCATGATAGTAATGAGAATGTTATTCCTTTGTGAAGATTAACAGTGCTTAACATCAAGTAGGTGTTCAAAACATGGTATTATCTAACGTTGAGAATTACTCATCCTAATTATACAGTATCTTCTTTGTTTTTGTAAACCCCTCGAGTTCTTTTTGCAACAAGGAGGGCTAGAAAATAACAGTTCTGATAAAGGAATGGAGCACTTGGGGCTCAGCTGGATTGTAAGGTGAAGTTTTAGAATTGTCACTTGGGACTCAGTCCCAGGCCCAGAAGACGAAAAGTGTCCCAAGTTTCTACACTCGCCACACCAGTCGCCCATCTCGATGCCCAAATCTAGGACCTTTCCCAGAAGCCCTTCAATTTTATTCCAAAGGAGAACCGCCTGAAGTCCGAAAAAGTCCGGGTAGGTCCCGAGTACCCAGTCCAACCCCAAAGGCAGCCCGGAGGCCACTCTCGGAGGAGGGCAGGCTGCGGGCAGAGCCCCAGGCCCAAGCAGCCGGGCGCCTGCAGGGCAGGGGCAGCACGGCGAGACGGCTGGCGGACTCCAAGCCGAGATGCAGTGCGCCGAGACCGGAGGCGGACTCCACGCCCCTTTCGCATCCCGGAGCCTGGCTGATGACGAACACAGGGCGCGACGGACGCACACGCCACCCCGCGCTCGCACGACGGTGCGTGCAGGGAAGCGCGAGGGAGCCCCGGGCTGTCACGGCGCGACCAGCGTCCCGCCTCCTCCGCTCCCTGCGCTCCCGCCACCTCGGCAACTCGGCACCCTCCTCCCGCCTCCGTCCGAGGCCTCCGCCGCAGTGAGGCTCCCGGCCTCGCTCCTGTCTCTTTAAATGGTGGGGCCACGGGCCGCCCCTGCAGCTGCTGCTTGGGTGGCCCCGCGCGTCGCTTTTGAGGGGCGAACCAAGATGGCGGCGGCTTTGGCTCCGTGAGGAAGACGGAAGAGGCGGCGGCGGCGGCGGCGGCGGCGGCAGCGGCAGAGCGAAAGCGACTTCCAATAGCCAAGGGTGCTCTGGCGGCCGAGGGCCTTCAGAGTTTCCCGGGCAGTGGTAGCACTTGCAGCAGGAGCAGGCGCTCGCGGGCTTTGGACATTAGACGCCGGGGGAGCGGAGCGGAGCTGGCGGTGGCAGAGCCAGGTACAAGGAAGGAAAACATGGCGGCGGCGGCGGCCTAAGGAGGCGGTGGAGGCGCGGGAAGCGGCTTCGCGGGGATCATGGCGGAGGCGGGAGCAGGGCAGTGACCGAAACCTCGAGTTCCTAGCGCGGCGAGCCAGGAGACTACGAGGCGCTGCGCGCCCCCCTCGGGGCTGCTGGGCTGCCGCGCTCGCTGGGCCTGGACAATAGCGTCGAGGAGTCGGAGGCGAGGAAAGGCGGCGGCCCAGAGCTCCGGCCCGGTAGCGGGCCATGCAGGCGGCCGCGCGGCCCCGCGGAAGCCAGCGGCGGCAGTGAGGCCGGGTAGTCCTCCGCTTACGGGCGCCCTCCCGCCTCGGCTCCCGCCTCTCCCGGACCCCCGTCTTGGGCGTCTCCGGCGGGGCCCCGGCCCCCGGGCGGCACGATGACCGACACCCGGCGGCGGGTGAAGGTTTACACGCTCAACGAGGACCGCCAGTGGGACGATCGGGGCACCGGGCATGTGTCGTCCGGCTACGTGGAGCGGCTGAAGGGCATGTCCCTGCTTGTCAGGGCCGAGAGCGATGGTAAGTGAAGCCCCTGGCGGCGGGACCTCCGCGGCCCTGGGCCACTTCCCCGGTTCTTTGGGGGCAGTGGCTCTGGCTCCACGAGAACGGGTGGGGCGCCTGGGGCTGGGGCGGCAGCCGCCTCGGGGGAAGGCGGGCCACAGGTACCCCAGTCCTGCAGGAGCTACACCGAGAGAGCTCCAAATGTTTCGTTTCTCCGAGTGCCTGGTGGCTTTTTGGGTATGAGTAGGGGCTGAGCAGGTTTGAGCTTTGCCGCCCAGGAGTGTGGAGAGGTCGGAGACCTGAGATCAGGAGTCCGGAGTGTGCTGTTCTTTTGCACTAGAGTGACCTTGAGAAAGGGACTAATTAATCCCATCTTCTGCCTTAGTTCACTCATCTGTAAAGCAGGCATGAAACTGCTAGAGCTAAGAAAGTTCCTAGCTGTTTGACATTTTTAAAGAACATATTGCTGTGCTTTTTTTCCTTCTTCTTTTCAAACATTTTTCCTACATCTTTCTGATCCTGTTGCAGGTTGGCAACACTGGTTCATGGATCTGGCAACTCTGCATGTGGCAGAGAAAATCCTTCTTTGCCTTGTGAAGAGACATTTTTGTTCACCGGTGTGCTTGTCTTTTTTTCATAGTAATGCAGAATTTTGTTTGTACTTTCACTGTATAAACGTTCTGCAAATTTGGAATCAATTTATGCGAGCTTTTTTGATTTATGTAAATGGATGTTCATAAATTTGATTAAGTTAACAGGTGGGGAAAAGTGGACAGATGTCTTTAAAACCTTTTGAATCTGACCTAATGCCTGTGCTTCACGTGTTTTGAGGCAGCTCTCAAGGTTCAAAGACCAAGTTGTTTGACAATAAGCATTTCACATTTTGAAAAGACTTACTCTCTATAGGGATTGCCACTTTCCTCAATGACATTCTGTGAATTTCACTTCCCTTGAAAATGTTAGCAATGGGGTAAAACTATTTTCAAATTGTTTCTTCTGAATATGAAAATAGTTATCTCCCACCTATCTTGTTACATTCGTCTGTAATTTTATGGTAGCTAACTATGTCAGTTTATGATGATTGTTGTGGTCCTGTATCTGAATTATTACAAACTCATTTCAGGCAATTTTCTTCACTTGGACTCTATCCAGAACTCCAATTCCCTGAAAAACAAGACTCACGTATCTGTAATTGAATACTCTAAGAATATTGATGTTCAATTTGAATTGAAAAATGATAATTTAGAGTATATTGCCCATGGATTATCTTTATAAGGCTACCCAAAATATCTTAAGACTGGAGAGAAATTATTTCCTTTTGGGGGGCATTTTAAAAGTTTTGAATATATTGGGTATATTTTTCTGAGACTGAGTTGTTATTTGCCTTTTAAAATACAAGTAGAATGTCAAGTGTAAGTGTGCCTTTATGTGTGAGTAACACAGAATAACGTACTCTACCTCTGCTTCTTTTGCCATTTGGAAAACTTTACGTAGTCAATTGGAAAGTATGGGCTTTTAGGTTCAGTTAGCTTCTTTTGAGATGAAAGCATGTGTAGATTTGTAATCAATTCTTTGAAATCCGTGTTAAAAATAATACATGTAACCTTCACATCATGTGTTTAATTTGATTCATTATACAAAATCCTTTGTGTAAAATTTTTTAACCATTAATGTTTAATGTCATGCTATCACAGACTCATACTCTCCTAACATGTTAATATAAAAATCTCTTTTTTACTATTTATAATTTATGATTTGGAAATAGCCCCTTACCTCCATTCCTCCATTTGGAAGATTGGGAGCTGTGCGGTAAAGCAGGTTGAATGACTGAAACAAAGTGGCTTTAATTTTTATCCAGCAGGGAAAGGCTGCTGCGCTAAATTACTGATGTGCCCTAATAAATTTAAGTTGTAAGGAAAACTGAATCCAAGGAATGGACTTAGAAAAATTCTTGGATATTTGTGAAATATTGTAGTAAATAATATTTAGTTTGATGATTAACATGTTTTTTAACAGGAACTCCAAATAGGAATAATAGTCAAAATTTATTAAGTGCCTACTATGTGCCAGAGATTCTTTAAGCAATTTACTTGTATTGATTTACTTAATTCTCACTACAGTCATCTGATGTAGTTATAGTATTATTAGCCATATTTTACAGATAGGGAAACTGAGTCTCAGAGACGAAGTAACTTAAGATCACACAGGTTAAGAAGCAGTGTTCAAGCTGGGTATGGTGGTCTGGGTTTGAGTGAGAAATCTAGTCTATGGCTTGAAATTGGTATTAATTGTGTACATTGTATTTTCAACGTCCATATTGTTGTCTACTTCCATCTGCTTCTTTATTCTTAGCCTGAAGATTTATTTCAAAGAAAATAAAAATGATTTTTAGCCTGCAGATACTCAATATTGTAGTTTATCTCCAAGATGGCCATGAAAGTTTTTGTGTTGACTGATAGTTTGGGCCACCAAACTTGTGTGCTTGTCCCATTCTCCATCATAGGATAATTGAGAATTTTCTTAGTATTATGATGAGCAAAATGGAAAGTATTTCCAATTTTCCATAAAGTGAGTCATTTACCCAATAGAAACTTAAAATTATTGAGTTTTTCTGTGCTTGGGCTGGACCTAGTCATTGTGTTTAAATGTTTCTTATTTTTCCTAAAACGTTTCAAGTCAAAGGGATTGACTGTATAAATGTTAACTTACGGCTTTTTCCCCAAGATGCTTTAGATTTTCCAGATTATTTGTTTAAAACAAGATAAATATTTGATTAACACTTTTGAAATATTTTATAGTCTGTAAAATTAATAAGCTTTTGTGATGTGTTAATTATCCACTTTAGAAATAGGCTATTTCCCAGTTCAGCTAATTTAATGAGAAGCTGCCCAATGCTAGGTAGGGTGATAGCTTTTGCATACCTGTGAAATGGGCAGTGGTATTTTTTTTTAATAGGTTCTCTAAGAAAGGTTGACTGACTTGGCCAAAGGTACTCATCTATTGGGGTGGTATGAGCTGGGATTCAAAATTAGGCCCTTGTTTCAAGCTAAGAGCATTGTCAACTATACATGCTGCTTAGTAATTACAAATTGTTTGGGAATAAAAAAATGTTTATAGTTTCAGTATAGGTACAGAAAGGCTAGGTAGTTGTAAAATTTTCTCACTAGGTTTATGTTTGAGGAAGGGAGGCTGTCTCAACTGTAGACTCAGTTCCTGTTGGAGGAGCTTTAAGGCTTATCTGAAAATAAGGAAGACAATTTATTTTCTCTTCGACCTGAAAAACTGCAAATTTTGAAGGGAGGCAATTTCCAAATGGAAGTACTGCGATCTTCATGTTACGGGGCAGATCTGTCTGGGTAAGAGCTGTAGCCTTTTCCTTCTGAAAGTTAGTGATTTGGCAAATCAGCGGCCCACCCTGCTTTAGAGGAGAGGGGTGTCCCACCGAGCTATGAGGCCATTTCCTAGATTGCATCCTTATTCAGTAGGTTCCTGTTGGCAGAATATGTTGTAGGAACACATCCTTTTCTTTAATGAAGGTAGATTACCTTATTACTCTCAGGTTTTGTGGTAGCCATGTACCTGCAAAGTTCCATCTTCCAATGCAGATTATTTAATTATTGTTTTTTCTTCTTTCAGCTTATGCTGTACCTGTTAACTTGTCGAAGTAAACATAAGTTGCTTTGTGTTCAAGTCATTCTACTTCTTTTCTCCATTATGTGTTTACTACCTCTACCAGCCAGCTTTAGAATTGATAAAGAAATGTAAAGAAGTTGGAATTTCTCCACACACTGAAGGGTATCTTTGGACATAAAATCATATCCATGCTCTTTATTCTGGATTACTTGCCAGACATCAAGAATAGTATTCTTATGTTTTGTTTTTACCTTAAATTTTATAAAGTAAAATTGGGTTACATTTCAGTGTAGTTTTATCTATTATCTGACTTGCCTATTTCAGAGTTAAGCAGGTTAAATTCTCACTGTTACTTGAGGCATGAAGAAAATGAGACATGGAGAAATGGTTTGATCAAAGCAGAACTGCTAGCTAATGGTAAAACTGGAATCCTATGCTTCTGCCCCTTTAGAGAACCCTGTAGAACTGGTTATTGTAGGTGGGTCTGCCTCTGCCCTTACTGTAATTAGAAAAGAAGATCGGAATACTTTGGGTAAAAAAGCTTTTTTTGAGGGGGGCTGGGGGCGCTGTTTTGGTGAGAGAAATGAACCGATAGCATCAGCATTTTTTTTGTAGCTATTGTTATAAGTCAGTAAGTAGTATAGAATCTTGTGTATGGTAAGCATTCCAGATGTATATTTATTTAGCTACCAAAAAGAGCTCAGTATCAGTACAAGGGGAAATATTTCACTTTGAAAAGTTTATGTAAACACAGTTTTTCTTGTGTACACCAGCTTTGTAGAAAATTAATAGACCAAACCCTTATTTAGCTGTTGCATGTGATAACTTATGAAAGTTTGAGGGCTACCACTACCCTGGATACAGCTGATGGGATTTGAGTGTAGTAGAGGCTTAACCCAGTGTGCTGCCTTTTAGTATAATGCCACCAATTCTTTTTCCTGAGCCTTTATTTTAGTTTTTAAATGCCATTGTGCAATCAGACATGTAAAAAATTTTTGAGAAATTCAGGAAGGAAGCACTTGGAGCACAGACCTGCTGTAGGTTTAAAGCATACATTTTTAAAGCATAGTCTCCCACCCAGATGAGATTTTGGGCTCCATTAACTCATTTTGATGTGCTTTCTTCCTACTATTGAAGCAGATTACCTAAGTCTCTGCCCTTAGCTTTGAGTTTTGGTAAGAACTGTGTCCTGGAGAAGCTCACAGGTTCAGCTGCTTACTTAGAAATGACAGAGCTGGAGCCATTCATTCTGAAATCCTTCAGTATTTATCCATATCAGGACTAAGGCCAGGGCCAAAATTTCTTAACCCCCAAACACTCCCTTATAGTCCCATACTGCCTGAATCTGATTGATTGATATTGAATATACAACCATAAAAGGATTA